AACCTTTCAACAAAAAATGAGATTTTTGATTTATATTATAGTATATTAAATGAACTTTATTTGGTTAAATTTTTAGAGGCTATTAGCTTATTAATAAAACAAGTAATGGCCGGCAAAAATGCTTAAATTTCTGTGTAATGTCAATCAAATATCTAAACTTAGATTTTATAGAAATGATTGATATAAATTTTAGCAATAAATGACAAATGATCAACATATATAAAAATGCTTCGAAGTATGGTTTTAATAGCAAAATCTCAAAAATCTCTCGTGTTATAAAATTGATATAACAATATTTTTGACATGACGGATTTAATAGCAAATTTTTAGATAATTTATAGATAATTTATATTTTCATTATTTTTAAAATAATTTAAATATTTGTAAAAATAATTATTATAATAAAATGTTATATATATAAAATTAAAATATCGCCTTATTAATTGATTAGACTCAATATTATTTTTAATGCAATTTTTTATTGGCTAAGTATGTTTATTGTGATGTAACTATTTTTTGTTTATCAATTACTCAAAATAAATTTACTAGTCCTATAACCCATTTTTAATAGATTAGCTCGCATATGTTACAACTAATTTTAACTTATGTTGCAATAATTTGTAAATTTGAAATCAATTGCTGCATCATCTTTAATCAGAACTTTCATATTCAGATTCTGAGCTAGATGAGAAGGAGGAGTTATAATAAGAAGGAGAATGATGTTTTCTTCTCTTCTTTTCTGATTTCTTTGATTCAGAATTTTCATTTTCAGCAGTATTTTGTGATTTCTTCAACTTGGATGAAGAAGAGTGAAACTGACTAGTACACTTATCCTTTTACTGAATATTGAATTCTTATTTCCTGACTTAGAGAGAAGTGGTTTTGACTATCCTAACTTAAGAGGAGATGGGTTTGATTATCCTATTCCAGAAGAAAATGGATCTGATTATTCTTCAGAATTACTATAAGTATTGAAATCTGTTAAGAGATTAACAGTCCTGCTACTACTAGAGGTGATATTAATTATAATAATGTCATCCAGTTGATAATCATTGTAGGTAGAATTTCCATCATCATCCTCATACAAAGATTCAGTTTGAGAACTCTTACTAATAGTTATAGTTTTTGTTAGTCTAGTTATGCTGGATTGATTTTGAGGTTGAATTATTATTGATAAGTTGATATATTTAGATAAGTCTGAGTAGAGAGGTGAAGAAAAGACAGAAGTTTTATTGTGTACTTGAATAATTAATTAAAGAGCTTGATTAAGAGTATAAAATAGTTGTTTGTTATAGATAAACATCTGAAAGGTTCATTTATAAAAATGATGTTTTTATGTAAACTTAGTAGATACTTAAGCTAACTGAAAGTTTTTAACAGTTTGTTCAGTATATTATTATTTGTCTAAAATAAATTTAGTCCACTCAAAAAAAGACTGAAAAGATGTTGATAAAGTTGATGATAAAGGTGCTGAATGACAAATAATATACAAAGAATCTAATAAGAGAACTATATACATAATCTTGCGTTTCTTCTTAAGATATTTTTGATGATGTAATCTTTGGTACTTAAATATACTTCCAAATAAATTCATATAGAGTGCTCATAGGTTATTACTGTGCTAATTAGAAAAAGAGGATTCTGTTATTATTGTCAAGTATTAACGTGTGATTTTTGCAAACTACAACTGTTAGACAGGATGTCAGAATGTTATTTCTTTTTAATTGAATAATAATCTTAATGCTTTACAAGTTTGTTTTATAACTAAATTCTGTTAAAAAGGTTTATACGAGTTTTTTACAAATAATAAATTATTGTATACCAAGTAATTATATTTCAAAATAAGATATTTATTAATGAGATAAGAGAATAGAAATAAAAAAATAAAGAAATGAAATACTAAAACTAAAATATAACATAATAGGCCTGTTTGCCTTTTAAAACTACTAGAAAACTAACTTGTCAAATCTTACTTTTTCATGGTCTAAAAAGCTATCTATTTATATAAAATACAATATATAGAAAGATATAACTAATATGTCTAATATATCCTATTTGTCAATCATATCAGGTATATCAGATATATTAGACATATCAGAAATGTTAGAAATATCAGATATGTTTAATTTATCAGATTATTAATTATCTGCATCATGTAAGTCCTATCATTTTTATTTGTTCACAGTATTAGCATATGATACTTTTTATTATAATTATTTTATCATATAGAAAAGTTATTTTATTGGAATACGTATTATACGCATTGATAATTATAAATTATAACATAACAATTTAGCAGCTTTTGCATTTTTTTTCCAAACTGCAAGAAAAAATAACTATACTATATCTGTTACTCATTTTTATCAATTCTTAAAAAATATCCTAATTTAGAAAAAACTTCACCATTGTGCTTCTATTAATTTAGTAAGAAAAGATCATTTATCTAGCATTTGATAAAACTTTAGAGATATGTGAAGTTAAATATATTAAATAAAATATAATCAGAAATGTTATTGATCAAGAAAATTTGACTCTTCAAATTCAAGTCATATAAGAAGAAAGAGAAAGAATTGATTTATTATTAAATAATTTTCTAGATTCCTATAATTATAATAAAAAGGTCATAAAGTAAATAATAAAATAGACCCTTTGTGAAAATTGGTAAAAATCTTGCTTGAAATATTTCAAACAGATAATTATATACAACATAAGCTTTTTAAAAAAAACTTACCATCATAATTAAGAAAATTAAATAATGCCTATAAAAAAAATTAAGGAGAATAAAGGAAGTTTATCATCAGGAAGTTATTAAAATTAAGTATAAATACAAGGGAAAGACGTCATCTAGAAATAGTTAAGACAAATATAAAATCAATAAAAATTTCAAAAAAACAAAAAAAACTGAAAGAAATAATGAAGATGTATCATATTTTACACTTCAACAATACAAGTTGAACACTGATTAATCAGGTACCTTTCTGATTGATCACTATTTTTTAATCAGCAATCAATAGATAGAAATCAGTAGATACTATAATTGGTTAATACTATAATTAAAATTATTAGGTAGAATTACATAAATCAGTTTTCAACCTGATTTTATACTTATTTTAAAAATATATAACTATATGGAAGGCAGTCAGTAAAAAAGGGAAAAATCTAAATTTTAGTCAAAATTTATATTATTAAATCACTTGGTTAATCTTGATTAAGTGCACAAATTTGGCTTAATAATAAAAATTAACAAAAATTTGGGATTTTCTCCTTTTCTTCTAACTGCCTCCCATATGTTAAATAGTAACAAATTGGTTCAATTAATATTAGTTATCAATCAGTTTAATACCAGATTGATGATTATTATTCAATTAGAATTTACCGATTGGTAACAATTCACTAACAAGTCATATTAACAAGATTTGTTAACAATCTATAATGAAATTCATTAATAGTTTTAGAGCTCCGAACAGGTCAGGTCAGATCGGGTAATTGACTTGACCCGACCTGATAAGGTCAGGTCAGGTCAGACATAAAATTGACCTGAATTAAATATACATT